ACCTACCCAGAAACGCATAGCAAAAATGAAACCCATTGTTTGTGATCCTTGTATGGACCCCTACAAAAAGCAACAAACCATTTCCAAAAAGCGCGCCACAACCTGAAAGACTCCCTTGTTAGCGCTTGACGCATCCCTTAGAAGGGTGTGAGCCCTTTCATTCCCAGTTCTGCATGGTCCGAGTAGGGCGCCACAGATGCTCTCCTCTCTTTTCTTGCTCGGTCACAAAACTAAGATTCACCACTGTTTTTCCTGAATCAACCCTACAAGTAAAGAGCGTTATAAGCTCACCAATTCCCGGCTATTGCTTGATGAGTACCGAAGGAAAAACGACCGAGGATGGAAAAGCTTTGTCTGCCGTCGTTCCATCCAAGTTAACTGAACTGATTTCTGTTCGTCCTCCTCTTGCGGATATAAGCCATTATTCTCGACTCGTAGCGTGCGCTGGGAAAGAGCTTTACAAACGGTTTGTGTGCAGCATTCGCAGCATTTTGCATTCCCAGTGTATTAGACCTGACAATGGTGCTTTGTGTCAAGTAAACTACCAAGACAACACTCTGTGAGTTCGCGTGCAATGCCCGACTCAGGACTAGCAATACACAGTCGTCATCCTTGCAAACGAGAGGGCGTGTGAGAGAGCTTTCAGCGTGTCCAGCCAGCTACTTTTCTACTAAAGGGTATTGCTCAAGATGACATCAGTCGGTGGGAAAGGCCACCCCCCCCAACCCAGGCACGTTCGCGCGCCCTTTCGTTTGCAGAGATGATGGCAGAGCACCGCCGCCCACCCCTTTATATGAAAACTTCAACATTCTAAGAGGCGCTGGCGTCGCGCCAAGGGTTAATTGGGACCAATTCAGTACTGCTGCGCTTGACGCAACTTCATATTAACTATGCAAACCGTAGGTAATAGCAGTGCGAAGTTGTGGGAGAAGAAACTAGTTAGAGTAGATAAGGGCTGTTTTTACAGAAAAGCAAGTATAAATCTGATTACAAGAAGAAGTACAAAGGAGTGGCAGAGTCAGTGGTGAGCACTATTCTCAAGTATATTGACAATTTCAACTGTTTTTGCTTTTTGAAATAAAACCGGTTCTAGGAAGAGGAGTACACTGAATTTGAGAAAGTGGATGCCGCTGTAAGACCTGTTGTATCGAAGCCGTCATCTCGTCACGGACGGAAGCGGACATCCATGAGTACGAAATTTGTTAAGGAGATTGGTACTATTATAGAAGCTACTCCAGAAACTCAAAAAATTTTTAGCCGAAACTTCGCCTAGGGGGTTATTTAGTGCCTTGATCACGAATACAATACTCATTTTCGACACCGGCGCCATTTGGCGCCAGTGTGCGTGGCGAAACCACCTATCTCACCGACTTCGGTGAAAAGTTGTATACGGAGGTTGTTTGGCAGGAATATGACATTCATTCTTGGCACCGGCGCAAATGTAGGGAGCTCTGATCATCTGCGCACTGCTAAAGCCGAACGCGGCAGGAAGGAAATCTCCCCTCTTGTCAGGCTTAGCCTTAGCAAGTGCTAAATTTCGCGAGTATCAAAAAAATTAATGTCATTCCTGGAATCAGGGTATCAATGAACCTATTATGCAAGTTTTCATGATCTTGATGATAAAGGCGGTCGTGCCAAATTGTCGCCATTTGGCACGAATTAGCACTAGCGACAAGAGCAGATCTCATATTCGTAATCAAGAGGTCAATTACCCCCCCCATCCCGTATAGTAGTGAAAAATTTGGTGAAAAAGGTGGTGGCGCCAAATTAGTGCCTATTGAGGGTAAATGATGCCAGCGCTAAGAATGAAGATCATATTCTCGATCAGGATAAAAGAATGAGGTCTTCGCCGTTGATCAATGCCTTTGTGGGATGCGGCACGCATTCTACTTCCATTCAGAATCGTAGTGGCTTATTGAATGCGATGTGGCCTATACAATGACTTGCGGTGGCCAGCCGATGTACAAGTCAGTGTTTTATCCTCCCAGACGAATCTGGTACCAATTTACCGTCCCCGGAGGTAGAAGGCTTGGTTGGCCTGGGCGGGAGTCGGCCCGGGATTCGAAATCAGGACCGCGTGGGTGGTGAGCGGCCACTTGTCACTACACCACCTCCACCTCTTGGTCAGGATACTGAACAAAATCTATGAGCAGGGTTCAACAGTTTTTTCCGAATTTTTATAGTAGCACTAGTGGATTAGTGCCAAAACGTCTTCAAACATCGATAAACTTATCCTAATTTTAGGAGATCGAAGTGTTGAGTGCAGTGTTGATGAAGGGACTAAAGAAGAAAATTCTCCACCAGATACACCCAAGAAACCGCCTTCATTGTCTAAGCGACTATCACGTGAGACAGCCCCACAAGACAAAGCATCAAAAGAAATATTACCATCTAAAGAAAAGTTACAAGATGGACCATCCAAAGAAATGTTGCAAGAGAAAACATCCAAAGAAATAATACAAGATAAAACATCCAAAGAAAAATTACAGGAAAAAGGATCACAGGAAAGAGAGGAAGGCCAAACCTATATTTGCGGTGAAGCTGTGACTCAAACCGAGGACGACAAGTCCAACGTGGATGTCCTTGCAAAAGAAGGCTGTATACTCTCGAAAAATTCAGTGTCACATTCAAATGAACATGAACAAACTCAGGCGCGGAAACCAGGTGAAGAGAAGCCGAAAAATATGATTTCTGTACAATGAAAATCTGAAAACGTGTAAAACTGCCATTTTTACTACTGGTGAGTGGAAGTAGTAATCGTAGCAACAATTCCAAGTTCTACATAATTTAATTTCAGACCATGTTTTAATACGCTACGGAGTGAAGTAAAACGATAATATACGCACTTGATAAACCTCACGCTTTTCTCCTGTGTTATACTCACACTTCGCTAAAACTGTCATCAATCAAAGGCACTTCCGCGATAACGAAACGTGGCTAGTGGGTTTACTGCCCGAGGATGTAGGTGTCACATTCGCGCCTCAAAATACGTGATAACAAAGTCATCGCTTCCTAACGGAAGCAGTACCCCGTCCACTGCCCGATAACGCATTGAACGTTCGTTTCTTGAAAACTACCAACCACAACCAACTCGTAGGCTTCCTAGTACAAGTATTGGGTTGGCCCATAAGTAATGGCGTTTTTTCCTCACACAAGTCTTCATATGGAAAATTTTTTTTTGACAATGTTTTGCTTCTCCTGTTTCTTAATTCTGTCGATTTTTATTTCATCGAAACAGGGTGCTGGGTCGACAGAAAAAGGGGTTTTCAACAACAGCTCTTTGTACTTTATCTCGTGCTCTCGATACTCTTTATCTCAGCTCTATGTAATAACTATGCAACGTATATCCCTATAAAATTAATACGACCCTACGACCCCCTCCAGAGCAAAAGTACGACCCCCCCATGGTTTGACACAACGATGCTGTACCCTGCTTGGATATTTGTGAAAAGAGGAAGTTCATAGGAACTAAGATGACTATCGAATAGGTCAAGGAAATCTCTGCAAAACATAAAATTCAAAATGGCAAAACTTTTCATCTTTGGCGCGATTTTTCGAGTGAGAAAAAGGCGCTATCACTTATGGGCCGACCCAATGGTCTGGTCTACGGACAACTTGTTAATCCCATTTGATGCGTCAATCTTCTCTTTTTCTCTGCACTCTCTCGTCCTACATGGCACTCTATGGCCGTTGTGACTTCGCTCACTCCAGCTTTTCACCGACTATAAGTAGCTCACCCACCCCGGAGTCCCCTCCCCTTGAAAAATCCCGTTTCCTGGCTCGCCATACGTTTTTTGCACGTTTCGATGCTTTGGCAGCCGCTGCCCTCTATCCGTCTGCGTCACAGGGTTTCGTAACAGACCATGCACAAAAGTTCAAGATGTCACGTAACCCAATAGTTTGTTCCTCACAATCAAACTCTGAATTATATCACTTCTGCGGCTCCAAGGAAGTAACGAAGGCGGTGGACCTCATAAGTGGTAGTTTTGTCGCCACACTAGCTGTCCCGCCCACAGAAATGGTAGTATAATAGAGTTTGTGACTTGAAGAAACGACTGGGGGACTCAAAACAGCAGGACATCGCTCTGCTGACGCACAACGAAAAGCTCCAGACAACTCGGAAGGAGAGGCCGCCATGTCCTTACTAGGGGAGTTCTCAATGGGTTTTTTTTCGTAGAGGCAAGAGAAACAGAGAAGTGTACAAAATTAGAAAATTGAAGCAATTAAAGGGGCTGTCTCAAAGGTATCTGTTGCTGTATCTGACCGAGACAGTCCAAAAGTAAGGGCGAACGAACGATCAATCGTTACAGGAAAGCGCCCATCTGCGACACTCACCGACCTTGCAGTGGACGGGATGTGCTTGCATCTCTGGGTAGTCGGATCAGGAAGGGTTTAGGATACTACACCGCCGGATTGGATGTCGTAGATCAGCATAGCGTCTTTAGGAGGAGTTTAAGCAAGTTCTTGAGCCTTATATAGTTGCTGAACTAATCTTGTTCATCACAATTATCCTCTGGGAGTGGACAAGCCTTCACTATGACTACTC